GTGATATCTGGTAGTGATTATCCGACAGCAAATTTATATCTAAATGAAGTTTGTCGGATAAAAGTGCTACTAGATAGTAAGGTTGATGATGAAGATGATTTTGTCCGGTCAATGGTGCAAAAGATGAAGCTGAAATTTGATAAGTACTGGGGAGAATGTAACTTATTAATGTCTATAGCAGCTATTTTGGATCCCAGATGCAAGATGAGGGTCATAAACTATTGCTTTCCATTACTTTATCTTCCACATGAAGTGCAAAGCAATATAGGCAAGGTTCGACAAGCCTTGTATGACCTATATGATGAATATGTGGAGATACATGTTTCAGGCCAAAGTGGATCATCTTCTCAACTACTAATCGGCAGTGATCACCCAACCAAGAGCAGTAGTAGTGCATCTTCATCAGTGTCCCATGTTTCGGGTATGAGTGAATTTCTGACCCATATTGCTACCGTTGAGAGTGTTCAACCCGTCAAGAATGAGTTGGATACCTACTTTGAAGATGGTCTCCTCACAGCTGCAGATGATTCAACGATAGACATCGTGAATTTGGATGCCTTGAAGTGGTGGAAAGACACGACAAAATACAAGATTCTTCCCAAGATGGCTGCTGATATTTTAGCCATTCCAATAAGCACTGTAGCTTCAGAAGCTACATTTAGTGCTGGAACCAGAGTAATCGACTCTTACCGTGCTTCCTTGGCTCCAGAAACTGTAGAAATGTTAATGTGTGCTGGAGATTGGTGTCATAAGCTACACGGGGTGAAGAAAAAGGAAAAGGTAACAAAAAAAAATTATCACACATAATATTTAAATTCGGCCTTACTATTTCTTAATTTCTTTTATTTTATTTTTTTGTTTTTCCAGAAATTGAAGGATAGACAAGAGATTGTGTTGCCTATTTCTTGACTTCGGAGATGTTTGAGGTAATTTACCTTTAATTTTCTATTTAGAGTTTTGTCCAATTCTAACTCATGGTATTAAGATCACAGAGGTTAGTGCAGAATTGCAGATGGTTATAGAACGCTGGTGGAGTGCAATCATATATGCGATGGTTATGTGTTGTGTTGAGTTTGTTCCAGTAGGAAATTAAGGCAGTAGGGGACATCTTGCGCCTAATGCAAGGAGCAATATATTGTTTTCTATTTCTGTTTTTTGTCTTTTTTTTATCAGCTTGTGCAATTGCATGGGAAATTGGTGCCCTTTCGATTACATGGAAGAAACTTTGCTATTCTATTGATCTGTTTTACCATTCTTGCGCAATGCAGCAGGCTAACAATGACTACGATCATGTAGATGAACAAACATCTTATGATGTAGGCACCCTTGTGCTCCTGTTAACTTATGGTTTCTTTAAGGATTCGAAGATTTGATATTCTTTTCATATAGATGAATAATGTCAATAATGATAGTTGCGTGATTTGCTTGTACTAATAAGTTGATTTCTTTCACATGTTTATGAAATTTAATGATGCAAATGGTTTATATCATCTTGGAAATTGTTATACTTTTTGCATCTCACATTTGATCTTCTTTTGTCATGTATTTCATTTGCGTCATCTATAACTCATTGGGTATGAGTTTTCTGTTATTAGTATATCTCCATTTAGTTATCACGCATGAGTTCTCTGTGTATTGCTGGTTATCACGCATTTCATTTCTTTGATTGATGGTTTCATTCTTATTTGGCATTTGCATTTTTGCCAAATCGTTTTTCTTATGATTCTTTTAACCTTTAGGAATTTTCTGGAGTTGGAGTTGGTGGACTAATTCTCGCTTCATGTCATGCCTTGGTTCTTGTGGACAACAAGCTGCTTTTAATTTGTATTAGTGGATATTTGTGGAAATTTGGATAATTTGTATTAGTGGGCATCTGGATATTTTTGGATGATTTGTATTAGTGGATATTTGGACATTTATGATTGTATTAGTGCATAATTTGTAGGCCTCAAGATCAAGAATATGTGAAAAATTGTTATTATCATGCTAAATTTTGTCAAAAATATGCGGACAAAATTGCTGTTTTCTTGCTTAAATTTCCAGAAATTTTCGAGCTATTTTCGAGTTCGAACTCGAGCTCCTAACGAGCTAGAAATCGAGCTGATTTCGAGCTATTCGTGAGCCAGAAAATCGAGCGGAACTCGAGCTATTCGCGAGCCAGAATTCGAGCTAGGCTCGCGAGCTATAAACGAGTCGATCTCGAGTTTTCTTTTTCCTACATCGAGCCGAGCTCGAGCTTTATTTTTCGAGCTCGACGAGCTCGAGCTCGAACTCGAGCTCGCGTATAAATAAGTGTAGCTCGACTCGATAAATTCAAAACTCGATTCGGCTCGGCTCGTTTGCACCCCTAACGATGAGCAAGTAACACGTAAGTCGGTAGAATAACCACTCGAGGGACCAACAAGTCAAGTGTAAAACTAACAAGTCAAGTGCAAGACCAACAAGTCAAGTATAAGCAAAGCACTTCATTTCATATTACTATCACAAAGTAATCTACAAAGGATCGAGTATGATAAAGTACATTCTCGTCCTAAAGGTTATCAATTCAAGAACAATTACTTTAACCAAGTAAGCATGTTATTCAAGAAAGGAGACATTCCACGTAAATATTTTCATGTATTTGGAACACTCACTTATCAAGCAATGTAGAATTCAAACGTCAAGTTCCTTGGTTATTTCACCACCGTTTCCCAATCCTAGAGCAACGAGTGAAATCATTAACAAACTAGGTTCAATTCTAACACAAAAGTGAGCTCATTAGGTGACCAAGTGAGTGGTTAAATCTATTCAATTCACCATACAAGTTAGGCCCAAAATGCAGTAAAAGTTCATGAGAAAACAAGTTTGACAAGTGCAAGAAAGTTGGGCAAAAGAAAAGTTTCATCCAAGCTCAAGTTGTTATTCGCGGGTAAAACAGTCGTGCCCGCGCAGTCTTGGGAAAACGGCTATATCTCACTGTAGGAAAGTCGGAATCAGGTGCCGTTAGCGGCGTTGGAAGCTAGACTCAAAGAGCTTTCCAAAGGTACCAAATACACACTCTAGTTCATCTCCTATCAGTACCAGTAGCTCGGACAAGATGGTTAATTTTTCAGTTCTGATCAGCTTCAATGCCTTAAAAAAGTTACACTAATTCTTGTTGCTAACTTCATTTGTTTTGGTTCAAACTCACCCAATTCAATCTTCTAGAATTCATAAACAGGGGAGTAAGTTAACTAGTACCATTGGAGCTCAAAATGCAATACACAACATAATTAAGAGGATCAAAACAATCTAGCCAACCAAAGGAGCCAAATCGGTCCACTACCAGCTCATAACAACTACTTTTCTTGCTTTATTTCCACTTCAACTCACACACAAACTTAACCAATGTCTAGCCAAGTTTCTTAGGCTTAACTAAGGTGCAAATGAACCACAAAATCAAGGAGAAACCTCTCCTTCCAAAACCGGTCAGCTGAGAAGAAAGAAAACAGTCCACAAGTTCACTTATTTAACCAACCTTCATCCTTTCATGGTTTTCACTTAAACAACATGTCAAGTGTTAAATCTAACTAAAAAAGGTCTAAAATATGTTAATACTTCAAAAACCACCATGAACAAAGTTCAAACATTTCATCAAACACATGATAGGCAAACTAATTAAACCTACTACCACTTGTTTAGTTCAAGAAGATTAACCACAAATCTCATCCAAATAACTTGTAGTTTGCCATTAAAACTTAAAGTACATGATATAACACCATAAAACCAAGATTTAAAGATCATTTACCTCTCTTGTAAGAAGCTTGAGTTACCCAAAACAACCACCAAACCAAAGGCATCAAGCTTGGTAATCACACACTAGGGTTGGAAGTATTTCACTCACCAACTCAAGTCCTTCACTTTTGATTTTTCTCTCAAGATCAAACTAGGTTTAGAAAGCATAAAAATGGAGTTTTCTTCCTTCCTTTGGAAGCTTCAAGGTGGCTGAAAATATGGTGGAGGAAATGAAGAAAAGTTGGTTTAAAATTCCTCTAATCCTTTGGTCAAACAAGATACATGGCTAGGGTTTGGCCACTTGGCCCAATTTTTGTCCATTTCTTCCTTAATCTTTGAGTAATGATATTTCATGTGACGCCCCCACTTCTCTCTAAGGCGAACCAAAGGGTATCTGCGGAACGCCTGCCCAGCCATTTTCCTGCAAAATCAATAAACAACATCTTTAAGTTGGTTAGATAATTGTTTATTTTGGTCTTTGTAATACTGAAGAATTTCTTCATATTGAGGATTTTGCTCATTTCTTCTAGCTCTTTGAAGAACTTGAATTCTAATAGTGTTTCTCTGAATCTCTCTTTGAAGAAGGAAAGTTCTCTCTTTTGGTGTAAGGGTTGCCAAAGGGCTTCTCTGAATGTAAACTGTATCATGTTTGGAAATTTGATAGGCTGGAATGCTTTGTCTTCCATTGCTCACTACAAGAAAAAAGGTCATCAATGACAACCAGCTCTTGTCACAAAAAAAGTAAAAGTCGTCACTGATGACAATTACTGACAACATTTAAGTCGCCACAGAGTCGTCAGTGAATGCCCGTCGGTAAAGATGTACAGTGACAACTTTATATGTCGTCAGTAAATAGCATTCTTTACTGACAACTCACTTCGTCAATAAAAAGTACAAATATAGTGATGACTTTATATCTTGTCAGTGATGGCCCCAGTGACATTGTCACTGAAACTCCTTGATGATTGTTGCTTGTATTGACTAATTACTAACAACTTTGGTTCACGCTTGTCACTAAAATAGACGTGATATTGACAACTTTTTGTCATCACTGTAGGCTTTAAGTTTAGAGATACTAATTAGTGACAACATTTCATTGTCAGTGGAGAAGTCTAATTAGTGACAATATACTGTAACCGTGTAGTTTGATAAAGAAAATTATACTGGAATTAATCAATCCAACAATTCAATTTACGAATTGAGAAAAATAACAACAAAGTCTGTTAATTAAAAACAGAAGACATCCATTACATTCGAAATGCCAAAATATCATACTTAAGTTCAACATCCTGCTACAGCTTTACAAAAATAAATCTAAGTCCTAAACTTAGCTAGCAGCTACTGCCGAAACACTTCAAGAGCAAAACACAACTTTGTCTTCATTGTTCTTCAATCAATTAGTAGCTGTGGATTAGAGGCCAAAAGAGTTTGAACAAGCAATACAAGTCTGCATAAAGTAGTATAATAATTAGTAGGTAACAAGTAGCTTGAGCAAAAAAATAAACTATCTTATATTTACCTACAACAAAACTCAATCACGATTAGAATCTTAGTCAAGACAAGAACAAATAAGGCAGAAAATTAACATAACAAGGACAATATCCCAAATTAGCTTAGAAGTTAGCTAGTTAAGTATTAGTGAGGTCAATACCTTTTTAACAAACTACTCAAGGCCAAACAAAAATATTACTAGCTTTTCACGGAGTGGCTTAACATGTCTTCCTAACAAAGTCATGGAGCCAAAAGCTAACAAAGATTTTTTTGACTGAATATTATCTCTAACTCGAATAGTAAATTATCGGATATCATTTTACACACACTCAAAACAGTAATAGAAAACCAATTACAAGCATAGATATGCAAGAAATCATAGCTAGCAAATGGTTGTACATACTTTTCATGACAGGATAGAGAAAACATGCTGTTGAAGGAACAAGGCCTTCCTAGGACTTTACAAACAAGACAATCAATAAATACAATCAAATCAGAAAGTGTCCTCAAACACCTCTATTCCTGATAAATTTCTACATACCTGAGTTCTATACATAAAAGTTAGTCAAGGAAAGGGTACCCAGCTGGACTTGTGAAGGTTTAGGAAACTTGATCTTATACAATATAAAGATTCTGTGGATCTACTAAGATCCCAACTTACTCCCTGCTCACGATAAATTGATGTCTAACTTTGCATTTAATGCCATGCAATAAGAAAAAGAGTGGTAACGATTTTCTCAATTTTACCATTGACTACTTGTTACCCAACCTTCTCCATTTATTAAATTCAATTCATAATGCAATCCATGTGTTTCCCACTTCTTATTTAAGTTTCAAACATTATTGTTATCTAAGTTCATTTTAAAGTAGAGCCGACTCTAGCTAGGACATCCATTTGGAACAAAGGAGTGGAACACAAGTTATCAACTTTAAAGCTATCTCACATTTGTTAGAATTTATTTATTATATGTTTTACATTGTTAAAATCTATGAGTTAATTAAATATAACAACTTGTAAAAGTTGCGTCTTACAAGACAAAAAAATTTTAGTTCATCAACTTGTAGCCAAGAAATTTGTCCTCTTATCATGCCAACCAGATCTAAAGGTGACTTTTTGAGAGACTATGCTAGTAGGAAAGCACTTGCATGTGAAATAAACATATTAACCATAAAATCGTGCTTAAAATCTTTGGAAAATGGTTTGGGGTTGATGCATGCACAAATACTGGTTGTCTATATTTCCACACAAAAGCAAAAGCATATTGATAAGAAGCACCTTTTGGCATCTGGGAATTCTAACTCGTCTTGATAAAAAAGCCAGCATTTGGAAAAATGGTTTGAGGTTAATTTTCTTGTTGCATCAGCTGAACCATCTTCATAGAGGTAATTTTACTGCCTTTTCTATAATTATGGACCTAAATATGCATCCAGTAACATAAGTATTGTTAATATTCACGTAAAAAATGATCAACTTGACCACTAGCCTGTCTAGAAAGAAGGCAGAGCAAGAGTACCTCAATCCACTTTACAACAGGTTTTCTAGCATGACCTTTAGAATGGTAGCAATTTTAGCATGTCAAAGGAAGGAGTAATCATCCAATAAGAAATTCATCAAATTGATCTTCTCCAACAATTAAAAGGCACAAAAAGTTCCTAGCTTGCTTGAAAAGCCATGCCAGCTTCTTACAAAAATCCTGGTCAAAAGATCATTCCGTTGCATCTTTAAGGAAATGCTCTATTCTATGAGTCTCAATACGTCATTTAACATTACAAAAAAACACATAAGAGAACTCTTCCTAGAATATCATAAGGAAATGAAACTTAAAAGTGTTAATTAACAATGATAATGCCAAGTCTTTCACACCACCAAAAAAAGGGAATAATAGTGATGTTGGATAGCAAACTTTTTGATACAATTAAAGTCCACACTCGCTCATTTTCTCAGGTATTCTAGAAACCTGAGAGATTACAATAGGCTAATAAAGTCATTAGAACCAGACAAATCCCCTAATCTAAAGCAACCGAATTAGCATGTTTCCTGATTATCTGGCAATTTTACATGTTTATGACAGCAAGGTAGCAAACTTGGCAAGTATCGCATTAGAATCATGCTGCAGAATCTTATTCACAACAGAATCTCTAGGGATGCTACTAACCAAAGTGGCATTTGTATCTCAATCTGACTGACTAGGGACAAATCTGTTATAATCTAACAGTACATGACTAATTTCACAGCTGAGAATGAAATTAAAAGCACAAGACGAATACAAATAGTCTTTATTGGATTCATCTATAAAGAAAGGGATACACAAAGACTACCTATTCGTTCTTGTAAATTGATACTCAAATAAATCAAAACAAACAACAAAATTAAATAGCCACCTTAGTTTCATAAGGAAAATTTTCATGATTTTTTTATCCTTCCTTTTCAATGAATCACTTATTGCCATAAACAGCCTTAGATTAATGAGGCAGTAAAAAGTTTTAATTGACATCCAACTCCATCTAAATATTTGGGATCTAGGTAGTTTTTAATCATCCAACTCCTAGCCATGTTTTCTTTGTCTTGTATCCTAACATAAAGATATATGCATCCAAGATTTATTTTAATGAAGGCACAATAACTAAATTGGGGAAACTAATCATTGCAAACAGCAACAAAGAAACTCCAAAGTAATGAAACACAAATTTTATCATTCAAATTGATCACAATTAGGTGCATGTGCTAAAAGTAAAACAAATATGAACATGATGTACTATTAAATCAGCGTTATCATCAGATGACAACTCAATGCTTATAATTTAAATAAACATTAGTACTGGTGAACAACAGTACATTTTTGTAGGTCATTCGCAAAGCAAAAATTCTAGTAAAGTGTACTCATGATTACTAAATAAAAGAAAAAGGACTGAGGGAGAGTGCCTGTAAAGTACCTCAAAGTGAAAAATACAACTCAATGAGAATATCCGAGGAAGACCCTAAGCCTATGTCAACAACTTCAATTGCTACAAAAAATAAGAAATCAATCAAATCTAAGAGAAATAAAGTAATTTTTGTGATATACCTGAAACTAATCCACACTATATTGATTTATATAATTATATGCATATAAGTAGCACGCCAAATCAACAATATAAGAAAAGGGAATATGAGTACAATTCAAAGTTGGAAGTAGCATACTAGAATGAATTCCATATTCATAACTTAGAATGATGCTTTCTAAGTTATAATAGGTTTCAAGTTACTTGTACGATTAGTTAATCATGAGATAAACTAGAAGTCAAAAAAGAAAAACAATTACTAAAACTTTAAGGGGAAATCATGATGTTATCATATAGCATGCATGGCCACCATACAATTGTGTAGAATAATTAGATTGACCATGAAAACAATCACAAATATCAAATTGACCAGCATGCTACTTAGGAAAATAATTATAGATATCGTCAGCCTATATATTTGTATTTCTTTTCCTATGTATATTAGGGCTATAATTATAGATATCTTCAGCCTATATATTTGGTCTACCAGAAAAGACCAAAGCTTCAAACAGACCACACAATTCATCCAATCACACCTCCTACCTTTCAAATCTTTTCTATGTCATTTCATTGGATAATTGTAACAGCATGCATGTAAATATTATTATTAGTACTATTACTAATTAATAAAGCTCATTAACAACGAGCCAGTAGCTATTGCTTTGATTTTTGATAAAAATCCAAATAATTTCGAAGAACCCTTTTCAAGAATCGTTTCTGTAGGTACTTTAATGGGTTGTTCTGGTTTAGCTTAGTTTCAAGCAAAGTTTGAAGCTTTCTGGAAATTTTGAAGATTAAACTTTAATGTGCTACCTCTTTGCTCAGCCACATAGATAATCAACTAATCACTCCGCAATTCCCACTCCACCCAGCACCATTTAACCCACTATTTCTCTCACCAGCAGCCACTCATAGCAACATCGTACCATAATCACCTCCTTGCTCTCTTCCACTCCCTTCACCACCATCCAATTAGGCATCAACTTTTGCCCCACCTAGTCCCAAGCCAAAACCGCACCCGCACATAAACCCATTGAATTTTGTCACCATGACTCACATATGGAGGTGATCAAGTCTACATCCCATGGTTGTACAAAAATAACTTAAGCAATTGCAACTATAGATCAAACAGTTCTACTAGAAGGAGTCCACGACTCAAACTAGGCACTGTAAAAATTTTGCCAAAAATTTGGGGAAAAAATTTAGGGCAAATTAATTGAGGAAAAAATTAGGGAAACAAGGAGAGACATAAGAGGACCTACCTGAGAGTTGGTGGAGAGCACATCGATCCCCTTCAGCGTTGAATGCACAATTAGTCTAGAGTTCCCTCAATCACCGCCAGCCTTCTGGTAAACTTGCCTTCTTTTTCTTGGGCTTGGTGTTGCGTCACCACGGAGGTGGAGGAAGAAGTGGATGGTGGACTCCTTCTGGCTCCTTTCGGCTGTTGTAGTCGGCTAGGGTACGGCCGTCCTCCAGCTGCTTGCCGATGAAGATATGGTGCTATTGGTTTCGGGGGGATGCCCCTCCTTGTCCTGGATTTTGGCCTTGACATTGTCGATGGTGTCAGAAGACTCCACCTCAAGGGTGATGGTCTTCCCCATCAGGATTTCCATGAAGATTTGCGTTTTTTACGGCGGCAGCTGCCGATTGTCGCCTCTACTGCTGCTCAGGTTTTGGAAAATGAATAAAGGGGGTTGGGTTGACCGAGGGATTGAGAGTGTTAAGAGTACTAAAGGCATCTGGAAGTGGGGAGTAAGAGTGGTTCCTTTTCTAGTGTATACTGTATAGTACCCGGGCCATTTTTTTTCATGTTTAGCCTGAACAAATATTTGGTACTAGTCAATCAAGGCAATCCAAGTCAATTTTTAGCTTCAATTTTTATTTAAATTTACTAATATATTTCTAATCACTACTTCTTAACATATTTATTAAAAGGTTATAATGGATGAAAATTTTTTGCTAAATTCGAACAACTGGTAAATGTACTCTTTTTCAAGTTGTAATAGTTTATATAGTTGTTCTAATTAGAAACTTTCATTAATTTTTTCCAGTTAAAAACCTATTATTATTTGAGTAACTATGACTAGTTTAATAAATTATTAAATTTTAAAAAAAATTAAATTAATATTGAGGCTCACAATTAAATAAATGCATTGGAGATGTTCAAGTTAGTGATGATACTATGTTGTCACTAACTACATTATAGTTTTACTGACAACAATTGGTCGTCAATAAATATAAATAGTGACAACAATGAAAAGTTGTCAAAGAAAGAGGTAGAATTACTGACAACTTTTATCAAGTTGTCACTATTGTAAAACTCCCGCCTTCCAAGTCCCATGGCGCGAAATAGTTTTGTGACGACAATTAATGGTTGTCACTGAAAACTTAGCTGCTTTGAGTCAATTGTGACAACCTTCAATGTCGTGACTAAACAACCTCATTTTGTGACGACTTTTTGTCATCACTAGGAAATGTTGTCACTAATGCCCTTTTTTCTTGTAGTGGCTGGTTGGAATAAAATATTGATATCCTCTGGATTGGAGAACTGCTTCTTTGTTTAGAAGTTTAGGAGAATCTCGTTGGGTTCTTAAATAATTTGTATATTCTCGATCAGTTCTTTGGGCCATCATTTCACGATCCATGTCCTTGTAAAAATTCTCTAGTAAGAAAATCTGGTAATGAATTATTCTCTCCTTTTATAAATTCAATCTCAAAATCGAAAACAGATAGAATAGCTTGCCATCTAGCAAATATTTGTTTTGAAACTATATTTTGAACATATTTTTGTAAAATCTCTTTTGCAGATTTACAGTCTATTCTAATTAAAATTTTTTTATTGTATAAATCATCTTGAAACTTTGATATACATAAAACTATTGATAAAATTTCTTTTTTAATAGTTGAATAATTCTTTTGAGGGTCAGACCATGTTCCTGAATGAAATCTGACTAATTCTTCTTTTGATTCTTCTATTCTTTGTTTTAATATACCCCCATATCCTAATTCTGATGCATCCGTTTCTACTATCATGAATGCTTTAGGATGTGGTAAACATAAGCATGGTAATGATTCAATTTTTTCTTTTAAATATTTTATTTTTTGAGTATGTTCCTCTGTCCAAGGTTTTGGGTTTTTCTTTAGTCTATTAAACAATATAAAACATTCTTGCCTTAATTTAGGAAAGAAATCTGCTATGTAATTTAAACATCTTAAAAACCTTTGTAATTGATTTTTATCTTTTATCTCATCTGGAAATTTAGTAGCAAATTCTAAAGCTCTATCAATGGGTTTTATTGTTCCTTGATATATATTATGTCCTAGAAATCTTATTTTTGTTTGAAATAATTTCATTTTTGGGGCTGATACTACTAATCCATTTTTCTTAACTGTTTTTAAAAATATATTTAAATGTTTAAAATGTTGTTCTATTGATTCTGAAAATATTAATACATCATCTATATATACAATACTGAATGAGTTATAGGAATTAAAAATATCATTCATTATATTTTGAAATTCTGATGGTGCATTTTTTAATCCAAATGGCATAACATTCCATTCATAATGGCCAAAAGGTGTTGTGAATGCTGTTTTGTATCTATCTTCTGGAGTTATTAATATTTGCCAATATCCTGATTTTAAATCAAATTTAGAAAATATTTTTGCATTAAATAATCTATTAAGCAAATCCTTTTTATTAGGAATAGGATATCTAATCCATTGTAAAACTTTGTTTAATGGTTTATAATTTATTACTAATCTTGGAACTCCTCTTTCTTTTTCAGCTTGATTCATTACATAAAATACAGCACAACTCCAAGGTGATTTTGAAGGTGTTATTAATCCTTTGTCTATTAATATTTTTATTTCCTTTTTACAAAATTCTAATAAATCAGAATTCATTTGTATTGGTCTAGCTTTTGTTGGAATATTCTTTTCATTAAAATCTTTTTCATATGGTAATTGTATCATATGTTGTTTTCTATCCCAAAAAGCATTAGGAATATCTGCACAAATTTCTTTTTTCAATAATTCTTCTAATTCAAAAATTCTTTTTTGTATTTTAGCTTCTTTTAATTGTTCTTCAATTTTTAAATAAGATTTTTCTTCTTTGATATAGTTTATATGTTGCTGTACTTTAGTAATAGTATTTATCGTTTTATAAATCGAAGATGTTTGTAAAATCTGTAATTCTCTTTGTCTTATTGGAGTTAAGAATTTAAAAGTAATAGTTTTTCCTATTATATTTATTGAAATTCCTTCATGGTTTACTGCAAATGGGTAAATTTGAATTAAAAAAGGTGTTCCTAGTATTATATCATGATTTATATTTTTTACAATTATAAAATTATGTCTGATACAATATTCATTATTACATATTGATCCTTTTGTAAATTTATATTTTACTTGTAAATTTTCTCCATTTGCTGCCATTAATGTTTCATTTGTTCTTTCACAGTATTTAGTAGGAATTACTCCTTCTTTAATACAACTTGAATCAGCTCCACTATCTATTAGAGCTACATGTGTTTCTTTGAAATCTTCTACAGTAATAGTAACCTGGGTAGAAGTGGTATCAGAGCCACAGACATATACATGCAAATGCATATTTAAGATTTTGAACTATTATTACTTTATTTGAATTACATTTCTATTTTGACTTGGCTAATTCATGCATTTATGTTTACATATTTTTAAACTTTTACTGAAATCATTGGTAAGACTTTGATGCCTTGTGAGACCGTTGGTAAGTCCAGGGTAGGATGTTCCCGGCATAGTGCTCAGTTGTTCCTGATTAGGTAAAAACTTTAAATAAATATTAAACATGGCTGCATTTCTTAGACAATTAAAAATAGGATCTAATTCAAAGCAAGATAATATAGTACAAAGTCATGAATATCATATGCCTATAAATAATTCAGACTGGACAATCCCAGAAGAAAGAATAGAACATATTTATAGAATAGGCCCTTTAGATTTCAAAACAGCCTTATCAGTTAAAACACATGAAGAAACAATATTTATTCAAGAAGAATATCAATCAATTCCATTATTAAATCATAGTACAATTCAAAAATATTTAAGTAAAGGATATCGATATATTCATATAGGTTTAATACAAATTGCTGTAAAACCTTTATTCCATCTGGGAGTCGATGCCCCAATATATTTAGCATTAAGAGACACTAGACTCAAACGATATAAAACTTCTTTACTATCTATGATTCAAACAAATGTTTGCAATGGACCTATATATTTTAACTGTGCTCCAAATTTTTCAATAGATCTAACAGACCCACATATTTTGAATTCAGTCATTTTAGATATTCATCTACAAGGAAATGAATTTGAAAAACATACAAAGAATTTTGCAATAATATACAGAATATATTATAGACCATTATCTTCTCATTTAAATCCTAAATTTATAATGACTCCAACTCTTAAGGAAGAAGCAACTTTATTACAAGTAGATGCAGATAGACCTACAACTTATACTCCAAAAAGATTAAAATGGAATGAAATAACTATACCTAGTGAATTTGAAATTAAAAATCCACAAATAGCAAGAAATATAGAACAAACCACAGCAGAAGATATTATAGAAAAACCTGATGGTAATACTCTAATAAGATTTTCATCATTAAGAGAAAAACCTGATTCAACTTATTCTTGGTTACCAGCAAGACATTCTAATTATGAAGCAACTGAAATAAATTTTCCTTTAGAAAGCATTTCAAACTTTAAATATAAAACTCCTATTCCAGAAGTTATAAATCAGATTCAATCAGAATATTCTCCAACCCATTCACAAATGAAAGGAGAAATAAATGTTATAAATAAACCATATAAAATAAATCATAAATACTTACAAGAAGATTTTGAAGATGAAGAAAATACTGAAAAAAGGATTTGGTTCTTTCAATTAGACCCCAAATATAAAGAAAAATTGATTATAGAATGGAAAAATGAATTAGAAAAGCAAAAATTTGATTTTCCTTTCTTTACTTGGTTATCATTCTATACTTCAAAATTAGGAATAAATGATATATTTCATACACCTCAAATAAATGTTCAAACTAATTTATATAAAAAATGGAAATTAAAAGATGATCAAATTATAACATCTATACATCCTCCATTACAAGAAGTTAAAATAAATACAGGACAAGGAGACATAATAGCCTTACCTTTTAAAAAGGGTAGAGAAGTAGAATCAAGTACAAATAATAATGCAATAAATTTAGAAGATATTAAAAAATTTTATCAAAAAAATAATTATACAAATCAAATTCTACGTACAATATCTCAACATATGGAAGTATTAAATACAAAAATAGATACACTAAAGAGACCAGAATCTAAATTCCCTAATGATATTTCAGCACCACATTTCCAACCTAGAAGTTTGACAAGAGAAAAAGAACAAGAGTTGATCCAAAATATTAACAATCAAAAAATAAATACTACAGACAATATATTAAATAGAATATCACAATCATTACAGAATATATCTAAACCTCAAACTCCTAAAATAAATACATTAGATCAAATAATAGAAGACAATTCATCTGACGATATAAATAATTCATCTGAAGAATCAATAA